GGCCGGGTAGGGCTGTGCCGGGCCGGGGTTGCTCCCGCCCTGCTGGGACATTGCGCCACGTTGTGCTGCGGGAAGCGGGTTCGCCTGTCTGAGCGGGGAACAGGCCTCGCTTGGGTCCGTGTCTGTACATCTGGGTGTGTGTAGCTGTGTTCATGGATGTGTGTGTAATAAATGTTGCCCCTACGTGTATACAGATGTGTATGTATATATGTATATATGTGTATATACAGATGTATATGCATATAAATATGTGTATATACATATGTATATGCACATAAATATGTGTGTATATGTATATATACATATCTGTATCTGTATATATATATACATTGATATATATGTATTGAGATATATGCACATGTATAGATGCATGTATCGAGATACAGATGTATACATCGATGTACATATGTATTGACATATATACACATATATAGATGCATGTATTGAATACAGATGTATATATTGATGTATATATGTATTGGCATATATGTACATGTATATATAGAGATGCATGTATTGAGCTGTAGATGTATACATTGATGTATGTATGTATTGGCATATATATACAGGTATATATAGATGCATGTATTGAGATACAGATGTATATGTATATACAGATATAGATATATATATACACATATACACACATTTATATACATGTATGCATATATATACACACATATGTATATATGTATTGATATAGATATGCACATATCTATATATATATGTAGGCATATATATGGATGGATGTATATACATATATATAGATGATAGATGTATACATACATAGATGTATGTATACATACACATATCTATATGTATACATACACAGAGGTACAGAGATGCATAGATGTGTATATATAGATGTGTAAATGTACATGTGTGTATGTACATAGATACATGTATACACATATACACATATATATGGTGTATACATATGGTATATATGATATATGTGTATATGTCATCTGTATATATTGAAGCCAGTTTGGATCAAGCCTTGAGCAACCTGCTCTGGTGGGAGGTGTCCCTGCCCAGGGCAGGGAGTGGGACTAGATGATCTCTCTGGGGTCCATTCCAGCCCCTTAACATTCTGTGATATATTCTGTGATATATGTGCATGATAAGTATTCTGTGATCTATAAATACATTTATGCCTATGTTTATTTATTGCACACACGTATGTGTGTGTGTACATAACAAAGCAGGGTACAGCTCTGGGAGTATTCTCATGGAGTGCCTGTCCATTGGGCAGGGCTACAGGTACCACTCCCAGAGGGAAATGGCCTTGTTGGGTCGTGGACGTGGGCAGGGATCGAAGCACTAAGAGCTCCTGCTGAGATGGAGCAGTCAGACTCGCTGTGCTGTGGTGGAAATGACTGTGCATATGCTTCTTACAGATAGTGCTGTGTGAGCAGTGAGCCAGGTGCATTACAGCCCGTCCAGCTTGAAGGACCTGTGATGAGCTTGAAATTTGGACCATCTTGGATATGTGAAGGACTCCGTGTATGAGATGTCTGCACGGTCTTGAGCTTCCATCTCTCCCCCCATGGCACCTTGCACTTCTGGATAAAGCTGTTGTTCAGGTACTGTTTAAAAACATCCAGTGTTGCAAGATGAAAACTCCTAATCCAGAAAAGGCAGGACCTCTCAGCACTGAAGCTGAGTGTCTTTTGGAACAGAGTCCATTTAAATTCTCTCTGATCAAATCTGTAGGGCTCTGGGCAGAACAGACAATTGCATCTCATGATGCTCTGCATCTTCAGTACTTAGCATTCATGTCACTGTCCTCTTCATCTTAGAACTTTTGATATTCAAAAGTGTTTCGAGCGTTTTACATTTTATTCAATCACTATTGTTGTCTGGGGCTGAGACAGATGAGGCTTCAATATTTAAAGGATGTCTAAATCTTCTACAAAATGCTTGTGGGAACCTGAACAAAACACTTGCAAAAATAGCCCATTCCCCAGGTTTTATATAACTAATATGACATTAAGCAGTGTAAGACTGTTTGCCAGGTACTCTGTTCTGTCCCTTGATGATGGTTCTGTGTTCTTCTTTGCTTTTGAATTAGCTTTATTTTTAAAAGGTGTCTTGTGTCTGAGCTTGTTCCCTTAAAATTAGATGCCTGAAAACAGACATTTAAGTAACTAAAGAACTTCTCTCCATGTTAAGAAAAATTTGCTGAAGTTAATGCAATTTCAGTGCCTTTTCATTGGCCTCTCCTGACCTTTATTTATACCAACAACTTCAGAATGAGTGGAGTGGGAACATGTGACCTTTTGCATGTATATATTATTTATGACCATTGTGCAGAGTTTGCTAATGACACCTTTGTGGTTTAAAATGAATGAGTTGCTTATTTAAAAGAATATTGTCATGACCTGATTATTAAAATTGTTTATACATTTTCTTTTTTCCTTCCTCCTCAGTTTTGCTTGACAAGGCAACTTTCTGCAGAAGAGGAAGAAGGGATTTCATTTCCCAAGAGTCACACATCACATCGAGAGCCACTCTCCTAGATGTCCTTGAGTTCTTCACCAGGACATGGCATCACAGAGTCGTGCACTCCTTGTGACTGCCATATCCTGCAAAAGGGGACCTGACTAGTTTCTACCCTGCCTGGAGACCTGTGTCCATGGGCTTCCATTTGCCAGCTCAAAGTTGGTTCTTTGCAAGTGTACTAACACATGGGAGCTTGAGGTGCTCTGGCAGAGAAGCAGATGATTTCTGCCTGCCATGTCCCGAGCTGAGTGGGTTCCACAGCCCTCTGACCCCCTGGGCCTCTGTCAGTAGTCACACTGGGAGTTGGTGACCTGCAACGTTAATGTTGAGCGTGTTGTGTTTTAAGGTTTTGAGGAAAATGCAGAGAAGGCATAGCAGCAACACTGACAACGTGCCCCCTGAAAGGTAGGTCCTTTTCTCCTCCATTTTCCTCTCCAGAGGGGAATGGTCTGGTTTAAGTGTAGGGGGTGGTTTAGAACATGAACAGTCACTATTGAGAAAGGCACAGAATTCCAGTGCATGTGGTGTGACCAGGATTTTTGCTTGAGTGTGGAGAGTTCAGAAACAGATTAACTTTCTCCTTCATGGCAGTTATTAACTGCTTCCAACCACAGTGTTTCAGGGTGATCCAGTATGGCACACATGGAAACAGCTGGCTTAACAAAGGCAGGATATTCTGGAGCTCTGGAGAAGTGATTGAGGCACAGTCCTGTGGGGATTGTGAGCACTATTAGTCTGCAAGGATCAATCTCTATGAGCAGAAATTATTTGTACTTGTTATTAATGTGCTTAAAAGGTCTGCTGGTCCGAAGCTCCCAACTATTATGACTTAGTGTTTTATAAAGGATTTGGGCAATCCTTTGCATCATCCCAGAGTCTGCATCTATCTTCATCTATGTGAGTATTTAGAAGTAGAATACCTCTAATTCGTTTCTGTAATTATAACATCAGCAAGGGAGCCTTGCCACTGGTGTTGTTCTGGTGCTATATATTCCCTGGTGCCTTCCCAGAGTTAGGGCTTGACTTTTTTTTTTTCCTGAAGAAGAAACTAATCTAATTACTCTAAGATAAAGGTGAAACTGACGAATTTCATTTGTCTGGCTGAGCTGAGATTGTAAGTGAAAGATCATTACTAAGAATTTCTTAGTGGTTTCACAAGTAGAGGTGAAGCTTGATGTCATGACCACTGCTGGAATGGTACTGCTCTTAATTTCAAAACTTGTTTTTCTGCATGATGCTGCCCAAGCCTCAGTGCAGTCTATCAGGAGGCAGGTCTGAGGCTTGAGAGACACATAGGATGCTGTATGGGCCCTCTTGTCTGCCAGGTAGAGCTCTCTGAGTCTGTACAAGTTTGTAAGACACTTTAGGATCCATCTGAGTAGTTAAAAAACCCTAACCCTAACCCATTCAGAATATGTGTTACTGAGTGCAGAAGATACACAGAGTAATGTCAGTTGGCTTTTATAAATGCTCCTGGTTTTTAACAGTGTAAATACATATTGTCAGTAAGAGAGGCTGAAGGTTTTCCAACTGTAGAATGAAATGCTGTTGCCACTGGTCTTCACTTCTGTTAACTTCAGCAGCCTCACAATTTCATCCTTGTTTATTTGTTT